CACCTCCCCACCGAGCCGGCCGAAGCACCTACCCACCACCTCCCTAGCGAGCCGGCCAAAGCACCTACCCACCACCTCCCCACCCAGCCGGCCGAAGAACCTACCCACGACCTCCCAACCGAGCCACCCGAAGCTCCTACCCACCACCTCCCCACCCAGCCAGCCGAAGCACCTACCCACCACGTCCCCACCGAGGCGGCCGAAGCACCTACCCACCACCTCCCCACCGAGSTGGCCGAAGCACCTACCCACCAACTCCCCACCGAGCCAGCCGAAGCACCTACCCACCACCTCCGCACAAAGCCGGCCGAAGCACCTACCCACCACCTCCCTACCGAACCGGCCAAAGCACCTCCTCACCACCTCCACATCGAGCTGGCCAAAGCACCTACCCACCACCTCCCCACCGAGCCGATTGGAGCACCTGCCCACCAGCTCCCCAACGAGCCAGCCGGAGCACCTACCCACCACCTCCCCACCGACCCGGCCGAAGCACCTACCAACAACCTCCCCACTGAGCCGGCCGAAGCACCTCCCCATCGACAAGGTCGGAGCACCTACCCACCAGCTCCCCACCGAGCCGCCCGAAGCACCTACCCACCACCATCCCACCGAGCCGGCCAAAGCACCTCCCCACCACCTCCCCACCGAGCCGGCCGAAGCACCTCCCCTCCACCTCCCCAGTGAGCCGACCGAAGCACCTCCCCACCACCTCTCCACCGTGCCAGCCGAAGCACCCACCCACCACCTCCCCACCGAACCAGCCGGAGCACCTACCCACCACCTCCCAACCAAGCCGGCCGAAGCACCTACCGACAACCTCCCCACCGAGCCGGTCGAAGCACCTCACCACCGACCCGATCGAAGCACCTACCCACCACCTCCCCATCGAGCCAGCCGAAGCACCTACCCAGCACCTCCCCACCGAGCCGGCCGAGGCACCTCCCCATTGAGCCCGCCGAGGCACCTCCCCACCACCTCCCCATCGAGCCGGCCGAAGCACCTCCCCACCACCTCCCCTCCGAGCCAGCAGAATCACCTACCCACCACCTCTCCACCGAGCCTGCCAAAGCACCTACGCACTACCTCCGCACCGAGCCGGTCGAAGCACCTACCCACCACCTCCCCACCAAGCCGGCCGAAGCACATCCCCACAGACCCGCTCATAGCACTAACCTACCACGTCCCCACCGAGCCAGCCGAAACACCTACCCACCACTTCCCCATCGAGCCGGCCGAGGCAACTCCCGACCAGGCCGCCCGAATCACCTACCCACCACCTCCCCACCGAGCCGGCCGAAGCACGTACCCACCACCTCCCCACCAAGCTGGCCGAAGAACGTTCCCACCACCTCCCCACCGAGCCGACTGAAGCACCTACCCACCACCTCCCCACCCAGCCAGCCGAAGCACCTACCCACCACCTTCCAACGGAGCCGGCCGAAGCGCCTACCCACCACCTCCCCACCGAGCCAGCCAAGCACCTATCCACAACCTCCCCACCGAGCCGTCCGAAGCACCTACCCACCACCTCCCCAC